CACATTTGAAAACTGATTCATAATTTTGACTTGACTCTAGTCTTGGGGCACACTTTATTTAGAGCAGAAAGATGAACAGCCAACAATTAGTACCTTCCTAAGCTAACAATAATTGTGGTCCACTGAGAGAAGATCTTGTTTCACTAGTCACTATTTTGTCCTCTTCCCTCTTCATTGGCAAAATCCAGCTGGTCTTGCCTTGAGTCATGGTAGCTGAGTCCATGATATTCCCAAACTGTGCTGGCTTCTGGATGGAGAGTCATCAGTTACTAAACCCCATATTTAATATCCTGCCTGTCCACCTGGTCCTCCACCCAGGACCAAACTCTACCTGAATGCCTGCTTGGATCTTGCCAGGGATTCCCTACCTTTCTCACATGGGTTTGTTGCATGATTATCCAGTACAGAACCCCACTCTTCATGACACACAGTCCCAACTGAAGTGCTGACTACCCTTATCCAGAATGAGTCAAGAGTAGTAGGTTGGTTAACAAAAAAAAATCATTACTCTTTGTATCTGTGATAGAATGGCCGGTCATGTTTGCTTGTTTAACAGAGACACCATTAGATGTTGTAAAACAACTTCAAAAATTTAATTTTGTTTAAAATAGCCTATCAACAAGAATGACCCAAAACCAATGCAAATTGAAGTGTGAGCATTCTTAATTGCACTTCAGGCTAATGCAGTGAGTTGGGATGGGGACAATTTTATCCCAAAAGAGCCCTCTATGAAACCCTTGTTATCTCATGCTGTATTAATGTATACCAATAAAGTGAAGCCTATCCTTGCAAGCCCCTTCCAAAAGGGACTGTGGTGGCCAAAGAGAACAGACAGATTGTATCTACCTCCTGCTTGGTATTGGGGCTGGTACAGAGAGGACCTAAGCTTGAATCTGTGAGATCAGTTAACCAGTCACCTTTAGTAAGTCAGTTATTTAAGATAGCTTGTGTACTAAAGTGAGAGGCAAGGCAGACTTTAACCAGAGATGTGTTTATGCAGTACCTGCTTAAAGATTATGGGTTGAAATGAGAGTGGCTATAAAGAACTGGTACCTTCCCACGTTGTCCCTCTACCTAGTGGGAGCTGAGCTGTTGTGTTTAAATACAAGAAAAAGCTTCAGGTAAGAGACAAATTTTAAAGATCTTCTTGTCTTGGTTCATTTATCCAACAGTTTTTTAAATACTTTCCATGTGCTAGTGTTACAGGCCCCAAGGCCTGCGGCAAACTCAGACAGCCACGGGGCCCCCTCTTCACCCTATTTCTTGCAAACCTATCAGAAAGATTTCAGACACATCACTCAGAGTGACAAACATGAGTTTATTCAAAGGGACAGAGAAAGGGAAAAGGGAACACTCTTGAGGGAGAGAGAGGGTCCTCTCAAGAGAGGCGAAGGGCAGGGCATGGTCACACACACCTGCAATCCCAGCTACTCAGGAGGCTGAGGCAGCAGGATGGGAAGTTCAATGCCAGCGTGCGTAACCTGGTGTGACCCTAAGCAACTTAGCGAGACTCTGTCTCAAAAAAATTAATAAAAAAGGGCCAGAGATGTGGCTCAGTGGCAGAGCACTCCTGGGTTCAATTCTCAGTACAAAAAGAGAGAGAGATGGGGAGAGGAGAAGGACAGTGTTGTTGAAGGAGAGTGTGCCTTGTTGCCCTCCAGTTTTCTTGGGGGTAGAGGTCCCAGGAAAGTTTCCAGAGAGTCCTGCTCAGGTCCATCTACTCGTTGACCTTTGGCTGACAACACAGGATCTGCATAGACCCACCTCCAAGAGAGGATGGTGTGGTGCCTACAGATAGGAGTTTTTAAGGGAATTGAGTCCCTCTCTTTTTGCTTGTTGCCCATCCCCTGAATCCGTTTATTGCACTTGATTATCCCCCAGCAAGCTCTTATGAGGATCTTGATGTTTTGGTTCCCAGGGTGATTAGGGGTGGGGACAGTGACAAGGGAGGGTACAGACCACCTGGTCGGGTGTGCCATCATCTTGAATCACTAGCTTTCCTGAAGGGGGTGTATTTACAGCTGGGGGAGCTTTTGACGTTCCAGGCCTGGACTTCCAGTGCTGGCCTGTCTAATGAGGCTCCCTGTGGTTTTCAGTCCCTTCATTGTCCTTTCTGCGTTCACCCAGCCTGGCTGACTAGCTACCTAACACCAGAATACACAGCTCTGGCCTCACCCTGGGGCTTGCCATCTTGCACAGAACTTCTTTTGGACAGAGATCTACTAGGGACTTTTATGATTCTCTCACTTGCCTGAATCAGATGAAAAGACACTGTGAAGTTTGTTCTGGAAGGCGGCAGAACTAGTCAGAAGTGCCCCTAGGGACTTGCTATTAAGCTAAAGATGCACGTCAGCAGGAGGAAAGCTCCCCACATGCCCCATTGCCCCACTTCGGGAACTCCTCAAAAGCTTTACTTGAGCCACAAATATACCACTCTATGGTAATTTTGAAATGAATATTTATGCTTTTAGAGTTATGTTCTTTTAAGAAAAAAAAAGTTATAAGTGAATAATTAGTGATAATATTCATTAATATCATGAATGATATCATTAATATTAAGGAGGATACTAACCATAAAGTAAGCTCTAGAATATGATTTCCAACATATTTTAATGCTCCTGTGTCAATTTCACTGAAATACTTGCAGAATTGAAAACTTGGGACTAAATGGGTTAAACACAAATACTCTATAGCAGACACAATTGCCATGTATGCTGTAGATTCATGTAAGAATTCTGGGTCTTCCCTTTCTTGTTTCCATGATATAAGATGTTGAAGACTGCCGGGTATGGTGGCATGCACCTGTTATCCCATTGGCTCAGGAGGCTGAGGCAGGAGGATCTCGAGTTCAAAGCCAGCCTCAGCACTTACAGACGCCCTAAGCAACTCAGAGAGACCCTGTCTCTAAATAAAATACAAGAAAAAGGGCTGGGGATGTGGCTCAGTGGTTAAGCACCCCTGAGTTTAATTCCCAGTACCAAAAAGAATAAAAAAAGATGTTGAAGATAATTAAGTATTTCCAGTATTATTATAAGCTAATAAAACAACCAGAAGTTCAGTCACCTGGATGGCTTGCTAAAACAAAGATTGTTCAGCTCTTTAACTAGAGTTTCTGACTGAGTCTGGGAAAGAGGCCTGAGGATTTGCATGTCTAACAAATGCCCAGGGACTGCTGATGCTGTGGGACCACATTTTGAGAATCACTGGCTTGAGCAAACTTGAAAGTGTGACTCCACAAGGAACTAGCAATAGCATCACTGTTTAAAAATCTACACACTTGGCTGTAAGTTTATAATACAACCTAAGTGAATTTAAAGCCATCCACTCAAAGATACCTTGAGTAAAGTTGTATTCTTTTAAAGTCTCACTATGTATTCCTTTAAACTCTCTTATATGTATAGGTATGCTTGTGTATACATATCAACATTATGTCTTTTCTCAAATATATGTAATATTCTATGTGTAAAACATTGTAATCATCTTATATGACTGCATTCTCTCTCTCTCTCTCTCTCTCTCTCTCTCTCTCTCTCTCTCTCTCTCTCTCTCTCTCTCTGTGATTTAACCCAGGGCCACTTAACCACTGAGCCACATCCCCAGCCCTTTTTAAAAAGATTTTGCTAAGTTGCTGAGGCTGGCTTTGAAGTTTTGGTCCTTCTGCCTCAGCCTCATGAGTTGTGGGGATTACAGGTGTGCACCCCACACACGGTTCCTTTTCTATTCATAATTCTTTATAAACCTGTTTCCTAGCTGGTGTAGTTCTACAGCATAATTTAGTACATCCTTTTGAATGAATGGATCTTAATTTGTTTAAATGTTTCCCTTTGCTGTTCATTGAGGTTGTCATATCAACCTGTTCAAACAAACAAGTTCATCATAAATATCCTGTCAAATTTTTATGTACATTCTTAATGATTTTCTAAAGACAGATTCCCAGAAGAAAATCTTCCAGGTCAGAAGTCATATGGATTTGTAAGGCTTTTAAAACATAAGGCCAAATCCCAAAGAACCAAAAGCCAAATGTTTTCTCTGATATGTGGATGCTGATTCACTCTGGGGGAGCAGGGGAAGATCTAGAGGTATTTTGGACTAGACAGAGAAGAGTGAAGGGAGGGGAGAGGGAAGGAGGTATGAATGACAGAAGAATGAATCGGACATTATTACCCTATGTGCATATATGATTACATGACCTGTGTAACTACATCATGTACAACCAGATGAATGAGAAGTTATATTCCATTTATGTATGATATGTCAATGTGCATTCTATTGTCATGTATAACTAATTAGAACAAATGAGAAAAATATTTAAAAAGACATAAGGTCAGAGCACACTACAGAGAAACATTAGATCATTTTACATACCCAATGGCAATATATTGTTATTTTCTCACACCTTGATGTAGAACTGAGTGACATTTTTGTTTGTTTGTTTATATTGGGGTTGCCAATTATATAGGGAGAAAATGCTATTTTGTTGATATTTTGAATGTTTTTCAGCTGCCAATGGAGCATCCAAGGATACTGTATTTATGTCCTGCGTAGCTGTGTGAATCTGGAGCCTAGAATCAGACTATCAACTCTTGATAGAGCAATTCTTTTGTTTGAGGCTTTGTATGTTTGACATTTCATAAGGAAATTAGCATGTTGTTTTTATTTGCCACCAATAAATATAAAAAAAAATCTCTAAGCTCTAGTTGAACTATATGAACTTCAAGAAACTAAATTTATGCTATGGAAATCATGTATTTTGTATTTGTCTGCTGTGATATACAAGCTTATTTCTTGGTATGTTGTATAATCTGTTAAACTATAATTGTATTAAAATTAATCTAATTTTACTTCTGACATCAAATGTCTGCTGTGGCGAAAACAGAAAACTAGTGAAGCAATGTGCCTTGCTTTCTACCTTCCTATTTACTGAGTGACCACAGCCTCGACTACTAAAATGACTACTTTCTTGGTGATACACTAAACTGAACTTTCTTGTTGATACACAGGGACTATTAGGTGAAAAGTATGGGAACATCCGAATCCCCGGAGAAGTGGAAGCCTCGGAATTTGAAATGATTTTGGATGCTGCCATAGAGGCAAAGATGGAGACCAAGCTACTGGAAGAGTGGTACTGTCGAGATGAGAACTCCGTGCCAGCAGCTTATTACCTCAGACCCAAATCAGAAATGCTGAGAAGCAATAAGAATGCAGTAAGTCGCCCTTCTCTCCATTACCAAAAACTGTTCATGTCACACTGGGGTGGCTTTCTCAGCTGAAAACCACAACAGGTGGTAAGTCACTCTGCCCTGGACCATAAATTTAACAGCTGAATCCACAATAACCATCAGGGAAATGCAGGTCAAAACCTCAAGAAGCTGTCGCCTTGCACCTGTTAGAATGGTGATTATCTACAAGAGATAAGTATTTGTGAGGATGTGGAAAAAAGGAAGCCTGGTACACTGTTGGGAGGATTATAAGTTGAAATAGCCACTATGGAAAACACTAGAACAGTTCATGCTCTTATGATACAGCCATTCCACTTCTGGGTACATGTACCCAAATAAATGAAACCATTATCTTGAAGAGACATCTGCAGCATTACTCACACTGGCCAAGATATAGAAACAACCTAAGTGTCCATAAGTAGGTGAATGGATGTGTTAGCTTTCTGTTGCTGTGACAAAAATACCCAGTAAAATCAACTTAAAGGAGAAAAAATTCATTTCAGCTCACAGTTTAAAGGATTTCATTCCATGGTAACTTAGCTGCATTGCTTTGGGGCGGTGGTAAGGCAGAACATCATGGTGGGGAGCATGTGGTGGGAAAAAAGCTGCTCAGCTGTAGGTGGCTGGGAAGCAAAAAGAGAGGAAGGACCATGATTCCAGTACCCCTCCAGAGGCATACCCCAATGACCTCACTTCCTTCCATAGGCTCCACCTCCTAAGAATGCTATCACCTCTAGGTAGGCTGGTGACCAAGCCTTTAACACACGGTTAGCCTTTGGGGAGACATTCAAGGTCTATATCATAACAATGGGTACATCAGTGATACATACACACACACAGGAATGTTATTCAACCTTTAAAAATAAAAAGGAAAAAATTCTGCCATTCACAACACAGATAAACATGGAGGACATTTTGCTAAGCAAAATGAGCCAGGCACAAAAGACCAACACTGTATAACCTCATTTATATATGGAATCTAAAGAAATGCAACTCAGGATAACAGAATAAAAAGGGACTAGAGTATGGGAAAATGGGAAGAGTTGGTCAAAATGTACAGACTTTCAGTTAGAAGATGACTGATTTCTAGAAACCTCTTGTTCAGCACAGTGTAGTTAATAATAATGTAATCTCTGCTTGAAGTTTGCCGGAAGTAGATCTCAAGAGTTCTCAGGATGAAAGAACTGGTAACCATAGGAGATGGTGGATATGATAGCTCTAGAGTGGTAATCATTTCACCAGGTATACCTACATCACACTACTACATTGAAACCCCTTAAAATATAATCTTGAAAAAAAAAAAAACTAAATCCAAATCTAAGAAAGTTTCAAATTTTGTCTCACCTTTGCTTTTAGCATCTCCTTCCTTCTGGGGCTATTTCCTTTTTCCAAAAGTATATCTTTTAAAAATTTCATTAATGGATTTGGAATTCCTTTAGCAATAAACTCTCTCATGTTTGTTTATCTGAAAGCACTCTTATTTGACTCAATTTAAAACCTGTGTCTATTTATTTATTCTTCTCTATTTGCCATGCTTTTAGCTGTGAATTCATATGTCCTATCTCAAACATTTTTAACCATCATCTCATCAAACAATGTCTCTCCTCTGTTCCTTCTCTTCTTTACTTTAATTAGTTGTACTCTAGATCATCTCAATTCATCCTTCCGGGCTCTTAATTCCCTTTCACATTATCGGTTTTTTTCTCTCTTGCTTTCCAGATTAGTTCTGATTTTTTTTTCCACTTCAGCAACTCTTTCTTCAGCTGTGTCCACTTTGTGAACACATTGAGTTTTCAAGTTCAACAATTATGTTATTTTGTAAGAGGTGTGTGTGTGTGTGTGTTGGCTTTCTTTTTGTTTTGTTTTTGTGGAAGGAGGTGGGTCCTTTGAAAATCTGCCATTATTTATGGTCTCATTTTTTAACTTTTAATTTGATTCTTTTCTTTAACAATTTGAACAATCAATTTATATTCTCGTATCATATACAGAAACATGGGATAAGGTTGATAAGAGCCTGAGTATTATGGATACATTATTTTTGTCTCCTTTCCAACTTGATTGGAAACAAGACATTAGTCCCCCAAAGCTGAATGAAGGAGATAGAGGAGAAGAATGGGCCTATCCACTGCATAGGATGTTTATAGATACTGAAAAGACGCCATAGAGAGCCATCCTTCTTCTGAAGACAGCAGCCTTGATACAGTCAGCACCCGAGCAGCTCCAAGAGGAGGAGAACCAGGGGTCAGCTGCTGGTCTTTATTTCAGGACCTTGTATATTTGTCCTTGAGAATTTAACACAAAACATTTCCTCTGTGCAATGTGTGATCATATCAGAATGCTTGATCTTTCTTTTCCCCAAAAACATGCATTCTTCAAAGTGATCTATAAGAATATTGCCTCTCTCGATGGGACTATTAGGGTGAAGAAAATCATTCAGAATGCACTAGGAATAATGTAGATAGCAAAGAATGTGAAACCTCAAGAAGCTGTTTACATGGTGGTTTGGGCCATTTGCTCATTGTTACTATTTAATTAGCTTCATTCCATCTTCAGTTATTTCTGCAGTACTCTAGGAAAATGTAAATTATTCCCAAAACCCGATGTGTTATTTCTGTAATAAATGGAGGTATGAATAAGATTATCCTCAAAACTATATAAACATTTCCTGATTTTATTTCCTAGCAGATCATCCAAACCAATGAGATGGAAACAGTAAAAGGCAATTAAATAATAACCTCCCCTTTAACTGTCTCCCTTTTGGAGGACATTAAAATGATGATTTTGTTATAATATTTATATCAAAACTCAAGAGGGAAAACATGATAAAATAAGAAAGCCTATCTGAGACCATTTTCTCTTTATACATCCATTAAAAAATTACCTGAGTCTGGGTACTGTGTAAAGAAAGGAAGTTTGTTTAGCTCAGTTTAGGAGACTGACAGCCCAAGATTGAGCAACCCCCTAATCCCATGTTTCCAGCCTCTGGTGAGGGATCTCTTGGTTACATCACCTTGGTGGGGACTCACACCAGAAGAGAGCACACAGTGAGACAGGAAGACCCAGAGGCCAGGCTTGCTCTTTTTACAACAACCTGCTTTTTCCTGGGAGCTAACTGAGGCCCCATGAGAACTGCAGTAATCCCTTCCAAGGATAGCAACCCCCCTCCCCACTCCTCCACCCCCCACCCACCCCCCTCATTAAAATAACCACTTTCTACTAGTCTCCGCCTCTTAAAGACTTCTCCCCCTTACAACGCTGGGGACCAAGCTCCTAGCACTTGAAACTTTACACACAAAAACCACATCTAAGTGACAGCAAAGTCCAACCAAAAAACTGTCTGAGCTACACCTTTATGTAATTTGGAAAAGTTCACATGTAACATGGAGATCATTTCTAACATTCAGGGCCACAGAGAAAGGATGAAATAAGACACTGTCTATAGAAGGCCCACAGTGGTATCAACACATCATCAACCTCCATGTAATAGGAACTCTCTTGTGCTTAAACACTACTTTTTCTTTGATGATTTTAAAACGGGCTTCTTACTTCTAACTTTCATAGATGCAGCCTCCTGCTAATGCTGAGAATGAGAAGCCGTGGCAAGAGATATCCGATGAGATCAAGACGATATTTAAAGCTGCTGTCAAACTGTTACATGAAAAGGGTAAAATGAAACACAGCCAAGCTAAGAGGTACCTGTTCTCAGGTAATTTTCACACATTCCCAGTAAACTAAGGCCTAGATAAATAAGAGGTGCAGCTGCTGCTTCCCTTTATGGTTCTGTAAATTTCATCTCATTTACTGCCTAGCAAATTGAATTATTCTAAACACTTCCATGTCCTGGAGAGGCAAGTGTTCTTTTGGTTTAACTCACAGAAAAGCCTTTAGTTAATTTGAGGGCTTCTCCAAGAAAATGTGATTTTTAAAGAAGTCAGAGGAGGCTGGAGATAAAAGGCCAAATTCTGCCATGGCTTCTCAATTGAGCTGTTCATTCATTCACTCATCCAGCTGCCCGGCAAATTTTTATGGGCCTATTGGCCTACTTTATGTCAAGCAACGGGAAGACAACAGTGAATAGGAAGGCAAGGTCTCCATTCTCCTCAAACTTATTTTTCAGCAAGGGAAAATAGATGATAGTTCAGTAATCAAATAAATGAACAAGATCATTTCAGAAATGATAAGTCGTATCGATAAAATAAAGCACGGTAATAGGATAATTGTGGCTGCTGGATAATGATGGGGTCTGCATGTGGATAGGGTGAGCAATATAGAGATGATCTTTGAGCTGAATGAAGAAGGACTCCGCCAGCAGTGCCATGTCTACTAAGGCAGAGGCACCTAGAAGTTCAAGATCACTGAGATGGGAATGTGCTTCAGAAATTCCAGGGAGAAGATCAAGGTGGTCAGGTTCAGAGAGGGAGACATGAAGTCTGAAAGTCATCTCAGGTCCTCAGAACCTTGAGTTTTATTCTGGGTGAAATGGGAAGCCAGGGGAGAGTGTGAAACAAGTTCTAATTTCATATTAAAATAAAAATTTCCCCAGCCAATGAGTAAAGACCCCACCTATCATCCTTTCTCAGCCATGGAAAGGAAGCTTCATTATTAAAAGCTGCACAGGAGAACACAAATCTGAAGGAATATGTCAGTCATTGTTTCCAGGGAACACACACTCCTGGGTACAAGTCATCAGATATATATAGTATAGCATGTATTTTGAAAGCTGATAGTAAGGAATTATTGAGAGAAAAGCAATAATAGATGCATTTTCAAAGGGGTTTTTTAAATGATGTAGCAAAATATTTGTAAGAATCTAAAAGTCTCTCAACCCATGCTCACCAGATATGTGTACTTCACATCATTTTGAAATTTATGAATTATTTTGACAAATTCCAGAAAAAATGCTAACAAAAAAAATTGGCCTGGTTTTAAAAAAAAAATACTAAAATTGCCAGGAATAAGTACTATCTTTAGAATATACAGGTTAACATTTATCCTTGTTCCTTTGGGACTTTTTGATCCATTTTTTGAATCTCTGGCTCTTCACCTTTATCAAGGACAAAATGGCCCTGTTCTTGAAAATGTGCTGTATCAGAAAAGATGCCCAGCAAAACTTTTATTTGTTTATATAAAAGACACCAGTGTGAGGGAGGCATACTCTAATTTACAATCATATGGTTCACATGTTTATAATTGGCAAAAACCTTCTCCTTGTTTTCTCCATTCTGAAGAACTCTGTCCACATGGATAAGTTGTTTCATATGAACTACTGCAAGGGGACTATTTTCTGCTTGCAGTTACATTTGCTAAAGGTAGACACAGTCATGATAATTTTCTTTCTTTTACATTTTAAACTCATTTTGAGGTCATGTCAAACTTCAATCATAATCAAAATTACTGGAGAATTTCCAGCTCTCTCAAATGGATCTAGTACATTTCCTTTAATATTTTCATAAATCTTAAAAAATAAGAATATAGAATAAAACCTATAAAGGAATATTATTTATGTTTGATGATGATTTTTCACATTTCTGATTTCACCGATTTAGACAAGAAAAGATGAAAAGTAAATTAGACCCCAAAGTTTTGCCCTTTTGTAAATATCTAAACTGAGTGGCTTTGGAAATAGTCAAGAGAATAATGTCTCATGAATGACAGTTGCCAGGGCTGGGAATCTGTTCCCAATGTCACCTTCATTGGGTAGGGTGACTTATTATAATTATAGTATACTAAGGACAGTGCAAAGACAGAAAACAAATATAGTATTCTACTAAGGAGAGGGAAAGCTTTAATATATTTGTACAGAAATGTATTGCATTACTTGGCTTTCTTTTTACTGTAACAAATACTCAAGATAATCAACTTAATAAAATAAAAGGTTTATTTTAGCTTACAGTTCAGGAGCTTGCAGTCCATGATCAACTGCCCCACCACCACCACCTCCACTGCTTTTGAGCCTGTGGTGAGGCAGCACATCATGGTGGCAGTGTGTGGCAAAACCATTCATTTCACGGCAGGTAATGAAAAGAGAATGAGGAAGAGACCAAGTCCCACAACCCACAATCCTAGGTCATATCCCCAAAGACCTAAGATCTCCCACTAGGCCTCAGCTGTTAAAGGTTTCACCATCTCCCAATAGCACTATTCTGGGGAACAAGGATTTAACACATGAGCATTTGGGAGATGTTCCAGTTCCATACTATGCAGGAATTATGAATAAAATTCTCCCTAAATCAGAATGATGCACTTTGCCTCCAAAAATAACTCTATACAGAGTTGATTGTGCATCGTGTCACTCATTTATATTCACATTCATTTACTAAGTCCTTTCCATTCCAAGCGCTCTATGTGCAGCCTCTTTTTTACCCCAAGCCAAGCTTGGATGAACCCTTCTGTCTTGGTTGATTTGCATCTCTTTTTATGCTCCAGATCTCCTGATTGACACACTCTTTTCATAGATGTGATAATATTAGTTGAATTACAGCTAAATTTTTTCTGGGAGTCAGGGTGGCAGCACACTCTGGTTACTAAGTTACTAAGCATCATATATAGATGCCACAGTTGGACCACTTCCTTTCTCTTCCTATCTCAGAATGCAGCAACCCGCTAATCCAGTCTGCTCTCCAACACTGTGTGCAGATGGCTGGAAAAGAGCTGGGCTGAATGCTGCTTTCTATAGTAGCCCGTGATGTTTTACCTTGTTTTCCTTATAACAAGTTCTTCCTCTTTCATAAAAAGAAGAGTAGACTTATGTTATGTAATCTCCTTTCACTTCCTTAAGTAGCTTGCTAATTAAAATGCTTTGTAAAATATACTGATGCTCATGGCACAGCTTACTGAACACAGATGGGTATATCTTTTCACTGGAATCATAAATTGTGACTGATTGCTATAGTTATGGAAAGAACATTATCACAGGGGTTTCACTAAAAGTCATCATTTTTTTAAAAAAATGCACATTCCTTATCAGTTACTGTATAGAACATATATGTGTATGTGTTCTGGGTTTTGCTTAACACTGAAGCTGTGGCCAGCGCACTGAAAGTATTTTTTTAATTTCTAGACAGATGGATGCAGCATATTCAGAGCCCTCCCCACACCACACTCCCATCAGCTCCCCCAGTAGTATAGTCTCCTCCATAGAGAAGCCTTCTCTGACCTCTCCAAGTGGGTGAGAACCCTTACTGTTTGCTCTCATTGCTCAGAGTTCTTCTCTGTCACAGGGAAAAACTAAAAACGATCATAATACATTTATTTGTGGGAATCTAGGTTTAGTATCTGCTGTCCTCCACTGAACTGTAACTCCATTCAGGCTCCTGTAGCAGAATGCCATAAACTGTGCAGCTTATAAACAACAGAATTTTATTCTTACAATTTGGAGGCTGGAAGTCCATGATAGTTGGTGCATGGTGAGGCCCCACTTTGTGGTTCATAGATGACACCTTCTCACTGCTTCCTTATGGGGCAGAAAGGATGAGGGAGCTTTCTGAGGCCTCCTTTAAAAGGAAAAGTAATCCCATTCATGAAGGATCCACATCTATCATATTACCACTTACCAAAGGCCCCACCTTCAAATAGCATCTGAGATTTAGGCTACAATATATAAATTTTAAGGAGACACAAACATTTAGTCTATGATAATCCATGTAGTCTTTTAGTATTGTCTATTTTATCTCAGCACTTTATGCTAAGGAAATATCAGCATACTGGCATAGCATAGGGACTCAATAAAGCCCAACTGGATGAAAGGGAAAAGGAAAGGAGTAGGAAGGAAGGAAGGATTTCAGGCATCCAGTTTTTAAATAATGTAAGCTTTTCATTGCTGTGACAAAATACCTGAGAAAATCAATTTAGAGGAGGAAAGATTTATTTTGGTTCATGGTCTCAGATCACTAGGCTCCATTGACCCTGGGCCTGTGGTGAGGAAGAACATCATGGCCGTAAGGGTGTGGTGGAGAAAAACTGCTCACCTCCTGGAACTAGGAAGCAGAGAGAGAAAAAGGAGCAGGTGACAAGATATGGTCCCCAAGGACACACCTGAACAACCCACGCTCTTTAACTGGGTCCTCCCACCACATCTCTGTAATCACATCAGATTATGAATCCATCAATGGATTAATCCACTGATAAAGTCAGAACCCTCATGATTCAATTACTTGCCCAAATCCCCAACTCTGAACATTGCTGCATTGGAGATCAAGCCTTCAACACATGAGCCCTTGAGGAACATTCCAAATCTAAGCTATAGCATACTGCTTCATTTCAAATTCACTTCCACTGGTTTTTTCTTTTTTTAAAAATATTCTTCCCTGAGCAATGATGTTTTTATTTCAGTTTTAAATGTCTTTATGAAGGCTTAAATGATTTATAACATGTACTTACTTGTGTGTAACCATGTGTCTTGTAAGCCATATACTGTTTAATTTAGATGAAATAAAGTTCTATACTAAGTGGGTGCCTTTTCTGATGGTATAATAGAATTTAACAGTGACATGGGTAATTCCAATTGATCCGTCTTCAGACACGATTAGATTTTGTTTTAATGTGCCTCTGTATTTACCTTTGAACATATCTCTCTGGAGTACAATAAACCTCAAAAAAGAAAAAAAATGGATGATAAAGCTACAATGTAAAGGACACACCAACTAGGAACAAGTCAACCCACCTTGTCTCTCGGCCTCCGCCTCCTTGTTAGCTGGACCACACTGGTCCCTGGTGTTTCTCCAGTCTTAGAACAGCTAATATCTGAGAGGGCAACTTAGCAGTATGAACTATAAACTTGGTGAACTTGCTTTCTTGTGCTGATGTTCAACCTCTTCCTCACATTGTGGAGGAAACTAAATAATTTTATTAGAAATCTCCTGGGTTCCAAAATACTCCACTATAAGCTATACTAACCCCCGCTCCCACCAGCAACTAATCTTCATATGGGGAATGTGGGCACACTTCTCTCACCCTAGACAATAAATTCCTTCTCTTATTTTCTTCCAGCTATCGAGGATGAATTTGACTTTGCTCTCGGCAAGCAAACTCCAGCATTCCTAAAGAAGTGTGTTTGCTATATTAGAAAAATTGCTAACATTGAGCGCTTTGTGAAAATCCCAGAGATGGGAAAATACATGGATATAACTGGAGCGGAACCAAGGATTATTCGTGACCCAGAAGCCCAAGAGAAGCTGATAAAACTCAGGGATGAATTTATTCCTACTATTGTCGCATCATCTAATCTGAGAGTATACACATCTGTTACCCATTGTGACATGAAACTGGGCTATTCCCAAGAAATAGAAAATCATTACATAGAAGGACTTGGTAAACAGTTTTATGAGGACATGATTGATATAATTCAGGCCACAGTACAGCAGAATTTTGACACTGAAACTGATACACTCTACGATGAAATCCTTCAGCATTCATCATTATGTAAAACATATGCCTCCTTCTATGAGTACAAGTGTGAAGCTCTAAACATTGTGCATAAATACATTCTTCCAAGCAAAACTGGGCACATCAACCCTCTTATTATATATGGTGGACCATGCACTGGGAAAACCCTCCTGTTAGCTGAAGTAGCAAAGAAGGTAAAAGTCTGCTCTTTCCCATCTGTATTTATTTAAAAAAAAATTCTTTGGGGGAAAAAAATCTAATTGATCAAATTCATTTCCATATACTGTGCTTACTATCTGAATTATAATTAATTCTTTTAGAATGGATACCTAAGTATTCATTTCTTGTCTTTTTGTTTTGTTTTTCTTGCTGGTGTAATAAGAGAGAGCAAAACTCATGGGGTATAACCATAAAGCTACTTAATTTTTTTTCCAGTCATTAATTGAACACGTTATGGAGCTAGATCCGCCATCTGAATGAATTCCAGGGCTGATTCCGGAAGTTCCTCTCACCTCATCCCTCCAAGACTAGTTTTCTAGTTGCTTCAGTTCACTAAATCAGTCTCAGCTCAGTGAATTAGTATGTCCAGTCCAAGCAGATGATTAAGATTTTAGTCTACATTTCTCTCCTCTGCTGAGGCCTACCATAAACAAGACACCTACAGTAAGAATGGGGACATGAGTGTCTTTTTCTTAGTCTACATAACACTTCTTTCCTCCTTTTCTAACCCCAACCACCTTCATGACCCCCCCTGGGTTGTAGTATAGTGGGTATAATAAGAAAGGTAAGGTGACTACAAAGTTCTTACATGACCAGTGCAGTTAGGAACTGGGCTTTGAACTCACTGTCCTTGACAGCTGTTTAAAGCTCCCTCCCCTCTCTTCAGAAGTTGATTCATGTTTTTTTGGAGGTTCTTCCTTTTCCTGAAATTCCCACCCTGTCCCCACCGAGCGTCTCTCACCTACAGGGCAATGCATCTTCTCTCTAGCTCTCTCCTTCCCAGCTCCTAGACTGCTAGCAACACACTTCCACCATCTTTCTGCTAAGATTTTCTCCATAGCCCTGCAAACTCCTGGGAAAACAAAGCAAACAAGCAGAAACCCTCACCATCTATCTGTCTCTTGCTGGTGGCTCACATTAGGTACGTGGGAAACCCTGAGAATCTCTAGACCTACAGGTCAGGTGCAGTGAAGCAGCTCCATGTGCCTCATCCCCATCCATGGGAGCAGCGAGCCAGCCTGTCGCTCCACCTTCATGTTTTTCAGGTGTCATCAGACACCAGTCCTCTGTGTCCCTCGGGCTTTAGGGATTCATTGAAGCCCTTTCCCCTGGGCTAGAAGTGAAGAGTGAGAATTCCTCTGACCTCCCCTTTGAGGATGGGGAGGGGAGAGGCATGACCCACACACCCTCACATCCAACTTCTTTCTCAGCCCTTCCAATGTTTCTTCAGGCTGGAGGTGGAGAGTCCACTGACAATAGCAAAACTGGTCTTTACAACTTCCCTTCCCAGTCCTGCTGGGGTCTGGAACCTTTGGAATGTGATGGCTGTTGTCTTGCCTCTTCAGCCTAAACTGGGCCAAACTATCTCCACATTTAACCTGTTCAACATGGTATCCAAGTATCATGGTTTCCGTCATTCTGGTGTTAATTCGGAATCTCCTCATTGTCTTCTGTGGTGACTCTCGAGAATAGAGCTTTCTTTCACTTCATGAATATTCTCATAATCAGTCACATGCCACACAATCTTGAATTGGTCATCCTGAGGACAAGGGCAGGGTCAGCTGCATTGCACCCTAGGTGGGAATTAGGTTCCAGTAAGCTCACAGGTGAAACTCAGGGGCATAATACTCACCCTTGAAAAGTCCTTAGGAAGGCTAATGTACCATTTCTTGGCATGGCAAGCCTAGATGGCTTTTACTCATATACACACACACACATATACATGCATGCACACATACAAACACACACGCACGCACACATGTGGCCCTGTCATTCATTGAGCACAGATGAGGTAATGGACTGGTATTTAGGGAAATGTTACATCAAAATAAATTGTGTGTATACCTGTGTGTGCCTTTGAACCAAGGTTTGTATGTGTATAGTCAAGAATTATTATTTAGGATTATTCCAAATGAGCAAAATGATGACAGCATGAGAACCGAAATTTGTGTGTGCCACTTCATGTTCACTCTAGGGCTCCTCTTGTGGAGGAGGAAAAGGGAGAGGTGGCAGAAGGAACAAATATTGTGAATTGGACTAAATGGAATGTGGTGTGATGTGTCCCCACGGGCTCTAGCACAAGCAGGCAACATGGGTATGCTATGACTATACAGATGAGCCAACCTCACAGGACAGTGTGCCAATAGTGCAAAGATGAAAAATAACTTTCCACACTCTGTCTTCTGGATATTTTATCAGTTGCCCACAACTGACTATTAGAATCCAGGCTTCTGTTTCCCCAAGAGACCTTACCCTTCCCTGCATTCCACTTGACACTCTCCTAGGGAATGACTAGCCTGCCATCCACAATAGCTTGCCTCTCCTGTGACCTCACGTCCTTCCAAAATATATACTCAAAGGCCTCATGACCCACCTCATCCTGCCACCCCCTAGCTACCTACAGTTACTACCCAGTCAATTCCTATCAGGAGATTAATTCCTTGATTAGGTTAACCCAATACTTTCCTGCATTGTCTCACACAAGAGCTTTTGAGGGACAGCTCATATGTAAACCATAACCACCTCCAATGAACAGTTGTAGGATGGTAAGATGGAACTCCTTGAAGCCAACTTCAAGGAAGTACACTCCTTGGAGTATTTTTACACTTTGATCCTGTCCTTTTCCATCTTTGACTTTCCAGAGAGAAAAACTTTTAACTCCCACTTTGTCTTATGGTGACCTTTCAACTCAGAGCAAGTCATTTATCCAGCCTGGGCTTCAGTTCCCTCTTCTATTAAAAGACACTGTATCCCACCTGCCCTTCAGAGAGAGAATGTGAGGACAGACGACTGCAGGCATGTACACACAACTGTTACAAAGTGCATCTAACAAAACCCTCTTAACCAACATTATACAGATATTGTGTGACCAAAAAAAAAAATATAACAATGACCCTTTAGCACCATAGGAATGTCTCTGAATTATAAAGTATTTTATTCAGTATAATCTTAGCACATAATAGTTTTATTACATTCTAATTAATTGGAAATTTGGTCATGCACAGATGGCGTGATATGCTTTCAATTAATAAAAATATTTAATACAACATGTAAATCCTTAATTCAGTCATTAAATAAACACTAAGTGCCTACTAGATGTCAAGAAATGTGCTGGGAAATGGGGATGTAGTGATGAAAACCTGACCACATGAGATATTCAGATTTACAGATTTATGAAATGCTTTGTAATTTTCAGGCTCAATGTTGCCTTGGAATTAAATAATACCATTTAGCGCTATTTTACTATCTGAGGTCTCACCTGTAGAATTTGATGCATGAGCTCCATGATAGTGCATTGGCCTTCCCATAAAGTCCTTCCACTTTGTGGTTCTAGGCTATTTTTTGCAGGGTAGATGTTCCCAGAAGTCTCAGCTCCAGCAAGAGGAAATGTGAGCTATGACCATGTAGATACCTAATACCATCCTGAACTCGACTTCTGTATTTTAGGCTTATGGCTGGCTACATGAAGACACAGGACCAGAATCTGACCCAGTAGTCGTGGTGAGATTTCTAGGAACGACAGACATGAGTACCGACCTCAGGACCCTCCTTCTGAGTGTTTGTGAACAACTGGCGGTTAACTATCGGTGTCTGGTTCAAAGCTACCCTAAGAAGATCCATGACCTCCGGGACTTATTTATAAATCTTCTGAATGAGTCTTCATTGCAGAGACCTCTAGTAATAATATTTGACTCCCTGGAGCAGCTCTCGGAGAACGACGATGCCAGGAAGCTCTGGTGGCTCCCAGCTCACCTTCCACGCTTCGTGCGGATAGTCCTCTCCACACTGCCCAACAAACACGGGATCCTGCAGAAACTTCGGTGCCTTATCCATGACGATGACAACTACATCGAGCTGATTCCCCGGGACAGGAAGATGTGCAGCCAGGTCCTCAAACACCAGCTGCTGCGGGTCAAAAGGAAGGTCACATCCGGCCAGCAGATTTACGTAAACAATGCGTTCTCCAAGTGCACGCTGCCCATGTTTGTGAACCTGACCTTCAGGGAGGTGAGACATTGGAGATCCCACAAAGACGTGGATGAATCCTCCCTCTGTGTCACTGTTCATGAAAGCATAGAGCAGTTATTCTGGTCCTTGGAGAAGAAATGTGGCCAGAAACTGGTCTCCAGGGCTCTCGGTTACATCACCATGGCCAAAATGGGTTTGAGCGAAATGGAACTGGAGGACGTGTTAGCCCTGGACAACAGCGTTATGAACGAGCTCAACGAGAACACCAGGCCCAGCAATCCCCTGAGAGTACCTTATCTGTACATCGCCAGGCTCAAGGAGGGTCTCAGTGGATACTTAATAGAAAGACACGTGAAGAACGTCACCCTCCTGGTCTGGGCTAACAGACACCTGCAACTCATAGCCCAGAAACTGTATCTGCAGGATGACAGCAGCCTGCGGGAAATGCACACCATCTTGGCTGACTATTTTCTGGGGGTCTGGTCGGGGGGCAGAAGAAAAGCTTTCTGCCTTGAAGACCCCTATTTGAATGGCTGCCTTGACTTGGATAGCAGAAGCCTGCTGGAGGAAGAAAAGCACTTCATGGAACAGGCTTCCTTTGACAGGCAGGCCCCTGATCAGCCCTGGGTTTTCCAGTGCAATCCACTGGAGCCCGACATCTTTTTCGTCAACCACCGGAAAATGTCTGAGCTGCTGTACCACCTGACGAGATGTGGGAAAACTGATGACCTGCTTTATGGCATCATCATGAACTTCAGCTGGCTTTACACCATGATCAAAATTGGCCAGTTTGACAAAGTGCTTTCAGACATTGAGCTAGCTTACAACTACTCCCAAGAGAAGGAGCTGAAGTTCTTGGCCAGCACCCTCCGCAGCATCAAGACCAAGGTCATTGCATTTCCTGGCTCCCTTTCAGCAGAGCTACAGCAGAGACTGCTTCCTGTCGTAAGCTCCCTACCCAAACTTAGACACCTTCTTTTAGAATGTGACAAAGATGGGCCCAAATATTGCTCCATCGTGCCATTGCATTCATCCATGGATGTGACCTACAGCCCCGAGCGTCTTCCCTTGTCATCCAGCCACCTGCACGTCACGGAGATTCTGCCCACCTCCAACCCCAGCACCGTCCTCACCGCTCTAGAAAATGGTTCCATCAGCACGTGGGATGTAGAAACTCGCCAGCTACTCAGGCAAATCACTACGGCCCAGTCTGTCATCCTGGGCATGAAGCTCACCAGTGATGAAAAATACCTTGTGGTGGCTACAACAAATAACACCTTGTTGGTTTATGACAATGTCAATTCTTGTCTCCTGTCTGAAGTGGAAATCAAAGGGACCAAGCATGGAAGTGGCTCCACCTACATCAACGGATTCACACTGTCTGTCAACCACGCCCTTGCCTGGCTCGAAGCCAGCAAGGATGTCACTGTCATTGATCTGCTCTATGGATGGCCCCTTTACCAGTTCCACTGCTGGTACGAGGTGACCTGTGTCCAGTGCTCGCTGGATGGGGTGTATGCTTTCTGTGGGCAGTACCTGAACACCACCACCATATTTCACTTAGGGAGTGGAGAAAAGCTATGTACCGTGACATCTGAATTTTCGGGTGGGTTTGTGAAGTTTCTTCTTATCTTGGACACAGCTCAAGAGATGGTGATGGTGGACAGCGAGGGAAGTCTTTCTGTTTGGAATACTGAGGACATTTCCAACCCCCAGCTGACGGATGACTTTGACTGCAGAAGAGAAGACAGCGAGGTGGTCAGCATTGAACTTTCAGAGGACCAAAGTGCAATTCTGATCTGTAAAGCTCTTAGCATTGAGCTCTTACATACCGGCGTATGGAAGGTAGCTGAAAAGTTCAGAGCCAAGCATAACGAACGCTTCGTCTCTGCTGTGCTGTCCAAAAACGGAGACTGTATCATCGCGACCATGGAGAATACTCCAGCTGTGTTTTTTTGGAGACGAGACACGGGACAATGCATGGCAAGCTTACAGGAAATCTCAGGTACCATAGTTAAGTTGGTGAAATCTAGTCACCACAATATGCTACTGTCTTTATCAACCAGTGGTGTTCTTTCTATTTGGGATATAGATATAATCACAGCTATGTCCAACATAGATAAGACTGGGAAACCCATCCAAAGTCTGGTGTTGCCTGCTAGAGGGGAAATCATTTACTCCCTGGACGGCTCTGATTGTGTTCATAAGTGGAACTTCAGCAGTGGGTTCATTGAAGCAGTATTTAAGCATGAAGGCATAGTGGAACACTGTGTGTTAACATCCGCCGGAGACATAATGGTGACATCAGATGACAAAAGCAGCCAGTATGTCTGGCACACCAGCAGTGGGGAAAACCTCTTCCGAATCAATGGGCAGAGAATCTCTCAGCTGCTGATCACACACAATGACCAGTTTGTGGTCTCTCTCTGCGAGGAGAATGCCTCCAGGGTTTGGAGACTGGCCACGGGCCACAGGGTCTGCAACATTCTGACCACTTTGCAAAACGCCTTTATTACCTCCGCAAATACCTTCGTGGTGGGAATGACTAAAAGCAAAGTGTTGGCAGTCAGCCTTTGGACAGGAAGTATCACCAAGAAGTTTTGCTGCGAGGACGGAATCACCATTGTGAATTTTAAACTGATCCCCGACTGTCCGGACATCATCGTGTTCATCACGTCAGCGGAGACTGTGAACATCTGGAGTCTGACAGATGAAGTGATCTGTCGCCGCGTCCAGCTTCCAAACAACTTCTTGAAAAATCTGGAGGACTTTGAAATTTCTCCCAATGGAAAGTTAGGCATTATATCTAGGGGAGATGAAAATATCAACGTGCTCGATTTACATAGTGGTAAATTACGAGTGGTCCACGCCTCCGGGGTCATCTGGCGGCAGAGGCTGTCTCGGGATGGTCGCTACCTGGTCTACATTTGCTTCCGAAATGGGGAAGAAGAGGAAGAAAATGGTGCCATATCCAGCTTAATTGTAATGAGACTGGCTGATGGCAAAAATATCGGTGCTTGTTCCCTTTACAAAACGCCAACTTTCCTTGCACTCTCTCAGAGGCACCTGAACATCATTGTGGGCTTTGATGATGGGAGCATAGGAATATACACTGTAGTGGACCGCGTCGACGCTGCACTGAAAATCAAAATTGCCACTTCCAATAGCAGGCAGATTTTCAACAATGCAACACAGACATCCAGACCAAAGTCTAACAGTTACTGTTTTAAAGTATCTGTGGATTGCTTATGGAGAGAATCCACTGAGGTTTTTGCAAGAGACAGCCCCATCACAGTCAGCGACTCCTCCGAGTCCAATGAAGCCACACCCTCCAAGAAGCACAACTCTTGCTATGACCGGGTGTGCTCTGCCCTAGAATCCAGGGGTCACAGCTATGCCCCTGATAACTGACAAAATGTCTCTCCCACCCAGTGGAAATACACAATCCACATACAGAAGAAAAGACAAGTGTATCTTCTGTATCTCCAAGGATATACTACTCGTTACTAAGAGACAGGAAAGATGCTGGCATTTCAGCGTCTTATTAACATACTCATGAAACAGAGAAGTGAGATTGGTTTTGGGTGCCATCTTTTTGTCAAGGCATATTCAGGAATGGAGGGATGACAGCATTTCTAGAAGTGAGATTTAAATAGTTATTTTATCTGGAAGAGAGAGGATTTTGAAAAAGCTTCTAAATTAGCTGTGTGGTAAGAAGTATCATAGGTCATTCCATTGGTTCAGATGAGAGGGACTAGAGTTATATGGAAACCATTTGGACTGAAATTAGTTCTACAAAGTCCAGTTGAAATCTTGAAGACAAAGAGTTGTTTGACTCCAAATGATTTTGTGATAAGTAAAACACAGCCTTAATCTCTCTTTACATTTTCCGATCCTGACAACTGTGTAAACCTAGTCTGAAAATGAAAGGTTTAAAGGTGCAAAATCATGTAACAAATATGCCCAGTTGTATTCCCAGTTTCCCAAGAGACACAACATAAAATATGAGACCGTGAACTGGACTGGGACAAGAACTAACTACCACTATCATAGGGCTATTGAACATGGAGAGTCAGTCTTTAATAAAATACAGTTCCAACGATTGCATGCAAGGGTTTCTCTGTAATGGAACATATGATTTTTAAACTACTTATTTTCTGAGTTGCAATATAACACTTAATAGGAAATCACCATCTTTTCACATCTTTTTTTGAAATGCATATTTGTGGTGAGTCTAAAGAATTACAGAAAGGGCATTACAAATTCAATCAAAACACCTATTTGTTCTTATGGTCACACTAACAAGAACCTGTACTACTCGATCAGTTATATGGAAGCATAAATTATTTCCTACATCCCTGCAGTATACATCAATAGAAAGCAAGCTTCCTTAATATGCCATCTCTGAAACACTGATGACATTTGCCTTACTCTCACTCTTCTTCTTTCCTGTGTTAAACGCAGATAGATGACCAAATACTCTGGGACAAACTTAATATGCCTGTCTTTGTGCTAAAATATTCCAGAAATCTTAAGGGTGTCCAAAGGTTCTTTATTGTCCCTGTTTGTAACCACTTTCTTACTTCCACACACCGTACGTACGCTTCTTTCTCTGTTACACTTCTGGACTGAGGAATCTTCTGAACCTTTTATAGTCTTACCATTTCAAAGCAGAAGCTGGGAAATGGCATTAAATATTTTTTAAACTCTACTGCACCTATTTAAAAAAATATACATCTCAGAAGGTCAGAGTGATTGACTTCCTTTCATATGGTCCACATGGCATGTCCTTGGATAACTTTTCACAGGGGTCAGTAGAGGTGGTTCGGTTTGGTTTTCCTTGAACAGTGAACAAGGAACTGACCTATTTCCAGTGAACCTCTGCCATGAACTCACTGTGGACGCCTGGCAGGATCTTAAACCTCGCCAGTGTGTTGCTTTTGTGAACTGCAAAATAAAGTAATGGGTTCTGCTGAAGCCCTATTAGGGATGTTGGAATAATAATTTCAGAAAAAAAAATAGACATCTTGATTGTTGATGCTGAAATGGAGAAAAAAAATATGATCTAACCTAGAGAGAATCCAAATCCACTGTATTTCACTTTGGAAAGCAGCTTAACATGTTAGCCTTCAAAGATATGATTCAGATATAAACACCCCATTCCATAGTGAAAGATTTTTTCCTCTACATTACTCATAGATTAGCTTCCAGCCATGGAGGTGGTAGCCCAGGGAGGGCTCAGACCCACGTACCAATCACCTGGAGTAGATTGTATGAGTCAATGCTTTTAGCTCTTCAGGCAATGCATACTTATTCCTGTCACTATCAGTTGAACCTCCATACCATACATTTCTAAGAAGTAAATGCCTAGATGGATTAAATGTAGTGTGTGAATGTTCTATGTAAAAGCCAATAGAGTATAACAAGTGACTTGAATGATTTTTTTCCTAACTTGTTTGCAACTGATAGCTCATATTGAATGTTTTTATGTAAACTTTGTATTGTTGGGAAGAATTACCCAATCAGAGATTTATATTTTCATAAATGTTACATTTAGTTAAATTTTGTTACAGAGTTGTTACACTAGAAAATTATTTCAGTCTTCAAACAATATATAGTCTTGTGTATGTATTGTTTGTATGAATAAAAGATAAACCACTTAAATTTGTGTGCAGTTGGTTTTTCTGTCCCTCTTTTGCAAAAGTGATTAGAGACCTCAAGTAATAGTAATAGTTGTTCTTGCTTGCTGAGTGCTTATAATGAGGGCACCTAGGTACTTTTCTCAGAGCTTTACAGATTCTAAGCTATGCAGTCTTCACAACAGACTTATGAGTAGATACTGTTAGTCTTTCATATTTACAGATGTGGAAACCTAGAAACAAAGGGCTGGGGGGAAATGCTGAACAAGATCTCAGTGTACCATCACTGTGTTTTTAATTAAATTTCTTAAAGCAATCCAAACGTGCCATTTAGTGCGCAGTAAGCACTACCTGACAATGACCTCTAAGGTATTTTCTAACTTATAAATGAGAGATCAATCTGGTCTCTTAAAGATCACTCAAAGTTGCTGTCCACTCCCAGGTTTTTCAGTAGTACAAAAATAGTTGATGAATTCATTCAGCAAATATTTGTTTGGCTATGCATTTTACCAGGAACACAGGGTAAATAAAATAACTCATGACTTCTAGGACTTCAGCCTTAACAAGAAAACAGGAAACAAGTCTTGTGTGTGTGTGAGAGAGGGCAGTATGCAGGCAGTGTGCTTCCCTCTGGGGCTCAGGAGAAGGGATGACAACCAAGGACGTGTCCCAATAGTAAAATCCTCCAGGTGAGAAAATAGGGCCAGGAAATCCTTCCCAGAATCCTTTACTGCTCAAGTCTGAGAATCTTCACATACACCAAGGTGCAAGCAGGGTGCTTGGGCCAGCATTGGAGAGTCAAAGTTATGAGTAGGCAATAATGAGATGTAACCTTGTATCTAGTTGTCAAGGAATGATTTAAAATTTAAAAGGTTAATAATAAATGGAAGAAATGAGCTGTTGGGTTTATTGCCCTTATCAACATTTGGCTGAGACTAACTTGTGTTAAAGTTTATCCCCACTGAAAACTATTCCATTATGCATGCCAGGGAATTCCTTCTTGGATTCCAAGCTATGGCCTTTAGGGTGAAAGTTACACCCTCTTCTGGTTCTCAGAAAAAAATGTGGAGAAGTTTATCACCAATCTTTTTGTTAAAGTATTTCATATACATGAAGTTTGTATTTAAAGAGCTTCTTTCCTCGAGTTAAGAATACTACAAATATGGTATATTTTCTGTGTCTAAGGTGTTATGTCCTAGGATGTTTTGAAAATTAGTTCTTCTGCCCCAAATCATACAATCAAAAAAAGACATAACTAACTAGATATAAGTCTGTGACCTCCCCCCCGCAAAAAAA